TCTACAAACATTGAAATAATATCTGGAAGCTTAGCATCATCCCTTGAGCTTATATCATTAAAGATAGGAACTTTCTTAAATGACAGCTATCTTGCTTATAATCTGGAAATAGGGAAAATTAGTATGTATTTCTGTAACAAATGATTTTATATAACTAATAAAAACAACAACTGCTATAATTATAATTACTTATAATAATAGATTTAGATGTGGAAATTTTTAATTACACTGAGCCAATCAAATCATTTCCAAAAGATTGCAGAAGAAAAAACTGTGATAAAATTGAAATACCTATGGATATTTTTCAAAACAAAACCACAGGTAATGAGATAAAGTAGAAAGAAATTTTTTTGTAATAAGAATTTTTTTTTTAAAAATGTGTTATAAAACCCCAGATAGCAAGCTTACACTGGCCCAAAGTTGGTCAATGCATGACAATACATTCGCCCAATGTTGAAATTTATTGGAATAATTTTGCCAATGCTAAAACTTACATTAGGTTAATGTAAGCTTGCTATCTGGGATATAGTGCGTGTGACAAGGAGGTTGGGAAAAAAGGGTGTTGAAATTTGTCCTTAGCTTAATCCTTTTTATCTTTAATTTTGAAATTAGAATGTTGTTTCAGTGACCTGGCAGGTCCAGTTTGGGTAAGTTACATAGTAAGTTATCCATACTGGCTTGACCAATTAGTGATTATGTGTCAGTTGATATTCAGGTGTAAATCTCTTATTTTCTACTTATAATAGTTTACACTTTATATTATGAAAAAATGTTATTCACTTAAATTTGAATGAAATAATATTCTTCACTGATAAATCTACTACATAAAGTTTGTTGTTAATTTATATAATAGTATTATTTCATTAGCGGCAAAATCTATAAGTATTTATTATTGCTATTTATAATGTGGATGGAATTTTGAAATATATATAATGGTACTTTATGACTAATTGTATATGTTCAAAGTGTTCACAATTTAGTATTATGAATTAAAATGTAAACATTCTTTTTTCTTTTTTTTTTTTCAATGTAGTTTTATTACTTTTATAATCACATTTAACCTATTTATTGGCTGGTTATGTTTACCATGGTTATATTTACCATGGTAATGTTTACCATTTAGAGATCATTGCCTCTAATTGGATAGGGTAGTCATTAATACACATTATGGTATTTGCTCAAAACCTGTCAATTTTTCATCATAGTCAATCATGAAGATATGATAAAAAATTATAAGTTATAAAAAACTATTATTAAGTTATACAATTTTCTAAAATAAAAAATTATAAGTTATAAAAAAATAAGAAAAACACATAAAACAAAATGAAACAAAAATAAAACTTAATGTAATTACATGTTGAGAATCTCATAGCATAATCCATAAAAAAGCTTTTAAAAAGCTTTATGTTTCGAATCCAATGCTGAAATTTTTTTTTTGCAGGCTTGGTCTTATAACATAAAAAATTGATGTAGATCTTTGAAAAATTATTTTCATGCATTAAATATTTTTCTTACAAACAAAGATTTAATACATTATTCAGTTTAAAAATATATCAAGAATTATAATTGCTCATAAAAATGCTTGGGATATTTAAATTTTAATAGTGGAAATATAAAAAGTAGAAATAAAGAAACATTAACACTCATTGCATATGCAAGTTCTATGGCTTTTTTTACTACTTTTTTATAAATTTAAAACAAATGTTAGATATTTTACTTAAATTGAATGTTTAATATTAAATAAATTTGATATTTTACTTTTACAAACCAACTTTTCACAATATATAAGTTCAATATATAAATAAAATAATCAGTTAGATTTTTTGATAAAAATGTAATTGGTACTGCAAATTTTATTAGAGTTAATATTGCTGTGTGGTCATCACTAGGCAGAGACTGGATTGGCCTAAATATAAGCCCTAATACACCTTTGCACTACCTTTGATTTTGTAAATTTCCAAAGGTTACTGAGACAAAAAATGTAACAGTGGTGCGAAAGTGTATTAGCGTTGAAATATCCAGCATCCATTAAACTTGACTAACTAACAACTCATTCTCAGTATCTACAAAAGTTATTATTTTCAAATCATCTAACAAAGAAACCAACTTATGAAGTTCTTTGTTCTCTTCTTTTAAAACATTTGTCTTAATATATAATGCTACAACTTCTTTTTCTAAACTTACAAGACTTTTCATATTGTTTTCATTAATGCAGTTGTCTTTATTTTGTAAAGCAATTTTTAAATTACTTTTTTTTTTGTCTAATTCAACAGCAAAAGATCATTCATTCTAATCTTAGTAAAGATCAAATGTAAAAACAATCGCCTCACATTAAAGATGGGATAAAACATATAAAAAAATTCTTACAAGTTCTACTTAAAATATAAAATTTTTGCTTTTTGAGTTTTTTTGGAAATGTAAACAATGTTAAAAGCATGGTAAATTATTAAGTGTTTCAACAAACATTTTGTGCCAGTTTTGTGCCAATTAACAATAAAAAATACAAAGAATAAATAACATTATTCATCAAAGTTAATTTAATTAAAAACATTTTTTTTTTTGTTATTTCTCAAAGATTTTTATTCATTTATTCATCGCAAATACTTATACAGGATATAAATTTATATATAAACTGTTTATATTTTATTATAATATAATTTTATTATAATATTTTAATATAAACTGTTTATATTTTATTACTTTTTAAAATTTATTCTTATTTATAGTTTTTATATTTAACAATAAAAAATATAAAGAATATCTAACATTAATCATCAATATCTGATAAAGAATATCTAACATTAATCATTATATAACTGAATATTATTCTTGAAATTTTCTCATGAAATATTAATGACTTGTTATAACTATTAATGTTTTTGTAAAAAAAGTAAAAAAACAAAAATCAGGTGAATCAATAATACTACATATTATTTTTAGCCATGAAAGCAAATTCTTTATGAATTTGACATTTTCTGGAGCTCCATAATAGGTGTATTGCTTTCAAGAAGATGTTCCAAGCAAGAGATTGGAACATCTTTAAAGTTGTGGTTAAGCATAATTTTTTGCCAACTAAAACAACTAGCTAAGCCTCATACTTATGTTCTTGTTCTTAATGGACATAATTGTCACACAATTTTATAAAGTTAATTAAAATTCCAATGGAAAAAAAAAATTTATATTGTTGAGTTGCCAACTTCTACTTCTATCTACAAGTGATCAACAACTACAATCAAACTAACTATAACCTGCAACCAAAACAACTATACAACACTAAAGTTACATAATTAATGAATAAATGAAATGAATGAAATAATGAAAATGAAAAGTATTATTAAAAACACAGAATGTTGTTGTTCAGAACTTGATTTATCCTGAGGGTGACAGATATCAAAAAGATGATTTTTTAGATGTTTAAAAATAGTTATTTTTAAAATAATTATTTTTACTTGTCATTTTTTTGCTTACACATCCAGTTTTGCAGACAACCATAGTTGTTTACCTTCACACCTTGATTTGTATCCTGTCTCTGACCTTAGCTTGTCTTCAGTTTCTCCTTGTTCTCTTTTAGGTAGTTCAGACAATCTTATGTTATGTTTCTTTTTCTTATGTTCTCTTTTAAGTGGTTCAGACCATATATTTTTTTGACCATATTATCTCTATGATATGGTCAAAAAAATTTTAACTTGTACTTCATTCATGTTGTAGCCATTATTTGTATTTTTTTACAAGTATAACTCTCTTAAGAGCAAAAGTCTTTATTATTGCAAGAAATCACTTTTTCACTCAATTTTATTTCCCTTGCATTTGCTAGTAAAAGCATAAAATTTGACTCAAATAAACTTTTGATAACTGTCAAAATTTCTGTCAAAAATCTTCAAGAGTGTCATTGTTCATATAAAGTATACTCAAATAAAATAATAAAATAAACAATAAAATAAAGTAATAAAATAAACATATAGCATACAATCAAAGTTGAGTTTTCATATTATTTCACAGGTTTTTACTTTGTTATTGTTACCTCTCTCCAAAATAAACAAAATCTATTATTAACATGGTCTTTTAGTCCTTAATTAACGAATTTCTAATTTCTTGTCTTGAGTTAAATAACTTTCTGGCGTTCAATACAATTTTGGTCTCTTGATCTAAAGCTGACTTGTTAACTTTTATAAAAGAAATTATATTGTTCAAACAATTATCACCATACTGTTTATATTTCTATATTGATAAAAAAGAGTCTTCTACTTTATTGAGTCTTCTACTTTATGGTTTCTTGGATTATCATTCACTACAGTCCTCTCATGTAAAATATATAAATACAATTGATTGTAAAGTTATTATCTATTGTTATTGCCATTTTCTTACTCTCAATTCTATTCTCTATCACTACAAGTTCCTCATTTCTGCCTGTTTAGAATACTGTTATCATATTTAGGCTGGTTCTTTTAAAAATTTTCTTTTACTTCTTGACATAGTCCATAAATGTAGTTAGACCTGCAAAAGATAAAGAGATTTTGTCTCATTCTCTTTTCTACAAATACCATGATGTTTGCTGCTCAAATGAGCTATTATCTCAAGTTTCATCAACCAAAACTCATAATTGCTTGACTCATCATTCAGCAATAACTATGGTTTACTTTATGGTTAACTATGCTCCAAAAACCTTGGTTCATTTAGTTTCTTTCTTTTTTCACGTCTCTATATTTTCCTGACTCATACTATTTACAGTTTTTTAAGTTTTCTCTTAACCATTTTCTTTCTCTTTAACAATATTCTTTATTCTCTAGTAACTCCCAACTTAAATTGTGGTTGCATGTAGCATTATTGCATGCAGCATTGTTGGGAGTGAATTGGTTTAAAAATAAAAATAAAATTAAAAAAGACCTCAGTTGAAACAATCTCTTTAATAAAATTTTATTTAGTGTACTTAATTTATATTGTAAAAAACAAGTTTTTAATAAATCAGAATTGATATTTTAGCTCAACAGAGTAAAAATTATTATCTCACTTAAAAATTCAACAGAGTAAAAATTATTATCTCACTTAAAAATTCAACAGAGTAAAAATTATTATCTCACTTAAAAATTCAACAGAGTAAAAATTATTATCTCACTTAAAAATTCAACAGAGTAAAAATTATTATCTCATCTCAATTAAATCGTCAACTTCCCAGAGCAAAAATTGTTTTTCACAATCAGCTAATGATATTTACTCCAATTCTAAAAGAGATGCAAAATAATTCAAAATTTGAAAAGATTCAAAATAATTCAAAATCTAGATGCTTTTGCATGTATAGATGTTTTTAAACAAATGATTAGCTATGCTTATTTTTTCAAGATACAATATATTCATATCAGTGAAGGGTTTAGTATTAGAAATGTCTACTAATATAAGATATTTTCTTTCAAGAAGTCTGTTTATTTAAGATTCAGATAATATATCTTGTTTCTCGATTTTGTAGCAAGATTAAAGCATAATTGAATAAAGTTTATATTTTATTATATCATGAGAAAGAAATATTAAATAAAATATAAATATATATTAAATAAATATATATAAAATATAAAATAAAATATAAGTATGTGAATAAAAAATGTCAAACATCAATAAAGAAACTTTGAAATTTGAAAAACAAAAATTTATTTTTATTTTTCAAATTTCATTTTCTTTATTGATAATAAGAGATTCCCTATCATAATAAAAGATTCCCTATGATAATAAGAGATTCCCTATCATTATTCCCTATTTTTTCTTTTTTTTTTAATATTTTAGATTAACATATTCAACATATTAGAACTTAATTTTTGATTATTATTTGTAGTCAAGTTGTAATCGACTTTGAATACTTTTGCATAAAGTTGTATATTTTTTTGTATGAAAAAATACCAAACTTTAAGGATTATCATAGAAAAAGGCAAAACTAAACTATTTTGATTGGAACAAAACTACATTATTTTGAAATTATTTTTGGTAACTAATTGGTTAAGTTACCATAATCAGAATATGAACAAGAAAAATATTTTAAATCCTATGTGTTGGAACAAGAAAAATATTTTACATTTTGAGTGTCGGAACAAGTTTTTTGAAGGATAAAAGATTAAACTTTTGATTAATGTCTAAATTTATTATGATAGGGAATCTCTTATTATGATAGGGAATCTCTTATTATGATAGGGAATCTCTTATTATGATAGGGAATCTCTTATTATGATAGGGATTCTCTTATTATGATAGGGAATCTCTTATTATGATAGAGATTCTCTTATTATGGTAGGGAATCTCTTATTATGATAAAGATTCTCTTATTATAGTAGGGAATCTCTTATTATGATAAAGATTCTCTAATTATGATGGGGAATCTCTTATATGATAGAGATTCTCTTATTATGATAGGGAATCTCTTATTATGATAAAGATTCTCTTATTATGGTAGGGAATCTCTTACTATAATAAAGATTCTTTTATTATGGTAGGGAATCTCTTACTATGATAAAGATTCTCTTATTATGGTAGGGAATCTCTTACTATGATAGGGAATCTCTTATTATGGTAGGGAATCTCTTACTATGATAAAGATTCTCTTATTATGGTAGGGAATCTCTTACTATGATAGGGAATCTCTTATTATGGTAGGGAATCTCTTACTATGATAAAGATTCTCTTATTATGGTAGGGAATCTCTTACTATGATAAGGAATCTTTTATTACTATGAGGAAGAGTATTTTTTTTTTATAATGTCGAAACTCAAAATTTTATTAATTTGTTTTTTTTGCCAGTTTCTTTTCTCATACTTATTTTTCTTTATTTTTATTATTTTTATTAATCATTCTTATACTCTAAGTCTAAAGTTTTTATATTAAGCCCCATTTATCTAATTTACTGGTTTAGTTACAAAATTAAACAGCTTTTTATTAAATGCAAAACCTAATGGCACGATTTAAAAACATGTCATTGCAGGACACATTTGAAAAATCACATGACACAGGTTACTGAAAATAGCTATGTAAAGGTAAAAATGTTGTAAAGTTACTTCCATTCAAATTATTATTTACATTATTAAATATTCTAAAGTTTTATTTTAGCAACCACAGTGACCATAGTCAGCATGAATTTACATCAAGAAAATTATTCCAATAGGTAATTATAATTTCCTCATAAATAATGTAATAATATTACTTTAATGGTAATAATAATAATGGTAACAACAATAATTATAACAGTAATAATAATAACAATAACAGTTAGTTTGTAAATAGTATGGGATTGATATGTATTCATTTTACAATTTCATTTACATGGAGAGGAAAGTAAATGTTTGGGATTGATTCATTCATATAAAATATTTCATTAAGATGGAGAAGGAGCACACTAAGCTTTTGGCAGAGTTTGTAGATCAGATTCTACGAATACCAAAAAATTACCTCCTGGAACATATTTGTCAGATTTCCTAAACCTGGAAATATCAAAGAAACAATGACTGACTGTTAAAAACATCTACATACATTTTTTAATCAAAAACATGACACCATTCATGTAAAAGAAAGGATTTTAATATTATTGGTAAGAAAAAAAAGACATTTGTATTTGTTTTTCTTACTTTATAAAAAGTAGCATACCAATTTAACACCTGATCCATTATTAACTACATTCATTGTAGATCGACTTCAGAAATATTTTATCATTATCATAGCTAAATGTCTTAACAATTACACTATTGGCTTTTAACTCTTTGTTTTGTTTTTATTCTTAATACCAGGTTTTGAACTTAATGGGAGAGTGCTGAAAAAGAATAGTAGTGCAAAAAAGAATTGTTTTGAACTAATTGTATTTGTTCCACATGGTGCACATAGAAGTGTGAGCAATGTCCAGAGGACATGTTTAATGTTTAGAGGTCCTGAAGAATGCAAGAGCAGAAAAACAAGAAAATTGCTTTGTGTAGTAATGTGGTTCCATACAGTAATTTATTTTGATTTGATTGAAACATTGCTTCACATAATAATTTGGTTCTTCTCTTAATTTAATTAAAATTGCTGTGTGGATTCACATAATAATTTACTTTGATTTGATCTTCTCCTGATTTGATTGAAATGTTGCTCTGCATAATAATTTGATTCTTCTTTTAATTCAATTGAAATGTTGACTTTACATAGTAATTTATTTTGATATTTTTTTTGTGCAAGGATTGCGCTGAAATACTGGCATTCATAGTAGAGTCACAATAGTTAGCTTCTGTCATGAGAGGTTGCAACTGCATTTAATAGTAGTATGCATGTATTTAGAAGTAGTATGTATGAGTATGACATAAAGTCTTTTTTTTATCTTTAACTTTGATACATTACAAATTTCAAGCATTTATTATTATTTATTTTTATTTTATTAGTGTTTATTTAAAATTGCATAATATATAAATGAGTTTTACATTTTTTTTTTATAATGTATCTGGAGTATTTTTCTCTTTTAAGTTAAAAATGATAAGTGGGAGACGTATCTCAAAATATAGATAAATATTTCTGAACAAATGCTTCTTTATACAATCTAGTGTTAACAGTACTGGTTTTATATAATAATCTGTCAGAGTTTCTGCTTGTGGTTTGAGTTTTTTAGTTATTGCATGTGTTGAGTTAGATTTTTTTAAGTAATTTTATATTTGTTTTATCAATAAGCTCCTTGATGTTGTGACAAAGATATTGAATATGGTGTGAGTTTATAACATCGATCTTAATAACTTAGAGTTATTGTTTGTGGAATAGTTGTAGCTCTTTTTTTGCTGCTATACTGCAAGATAAGAGTATATGGGTGTAGTATAGAATGTGTGATCAATCTTTTTATGGTGTTTTAGTAAACAGGGTACTGACTTAATAGAGTTATAAACTTAAATCCATTGATCATCCCAGTTAAGATTTTTGTTTATTAGGATTCCTAGGTACTTGTAGCAATCAACTGATTAGAGTTTAGAGTTTAAAAAAATTAGCAATGGAATTGCAACTTGATTAGGATGCCAACTCTATTAATAATGTTTTTCACTTTATATGATTGAGTTTCATGCCATTAACAATAGTCCAGTTCGCTACACCATCCAAAATAGGTTGAGGTAGGTTTTTTGCATCTCGGTCATAGATGATGTAAGTTAATATATTATCGACATATTTCTCTAGGATTGTCTCTGGTGGTAAAAAATTATTCATATCATGTATGAATAATATAAATAAAATAGGTCCAAGTTACCTTGAATGACTAATACATTTCCATTTAGTTACTCAATTGTTTTTGCTCTTTGATGCCGGTTGTGTAGGTAGATATCCTTGTGTATCCATATATATTCATGTATATATTCAAATATCATTATTAACTATTTTTGTAAGAAAATGTAATCTTTTTCCAACAGAGCAACCTTGTTTAAGTCTTCATTTTGTAAATTGCCATTACAAATTTTAGTCATAAATCTTAAAATAAGAAATACTATGTTTTTCAATGTGACTACGCTTATATTAATTTTTTTGTTTCAATTTCAATTCCAAAATTCTAAACTGTAAAAATTTATGATGTCATTTAATAGTATCCTATTGAGAAATGTATTTATGTTTTTAGTGGACAATCAGTTTATAAGAACAAATCTTGGAAAGCTGTATCATCAATTATTTCTGTATCTGTTAATAATACAGTTGTGCTTCCATTTATAAAACCAATTGTTTTGCGCCAAAAGATTTATACACCAGTAATGTTTTTTAAAACTTGTATTTTCTACTCACTCAGATGACATTGGTAGCTGATTTAATGTTATTCTGTTTTATTTTATTAAGTTTTATGTTAAAATATTTATTATTTATTTATTATATACTTTTCAAACTTTTAAGTTTTCAAATAAAAGTTCAATTTGTTTTCAGACTAATTACTTATACAAACTGTCAGCTGGCTATTGGAAAAATACAAAACGGTGTGGTTTAATTCTTTTCTATTATAATAACGCTTGTCTTTTAACATCTTTGTATGAGATGGGATAAAATATATATTTGTTAAAATCTTTTTAGATCTGCAAAATGTTGGGCATTTGATGGCTTGAGTATTAAAAGTCTAAAGGGAAATGAAGTTGTGATACATTCATATCATATGACAACTTTTGCTATTCTTATGCAAGTTACAGAATTTGAAGTAATTAGTTTATAGTAATAACTAAATAATTTTAGTTATTACTTTTTAAATAGTTACACTAATAATATACACACACACACACACACACACACACGCACACAAATGTATATGTATATATATATATGCAACCCATGGAAATAAAATATTCATAAATCGTTTTATGAATCCTATTGAAAAATGAAAGTGTTGTTTGTCTTTTTTTATTCACCTTCATGAAGACGGTTTGACGTCTAATGTTTCTACTACAATTCAGTAAAAGAAAGGAAAACAAATTAGTAAACGCGCAATTGATAAATTAAAATTTATTTAAAAATAAATCATTTATTGAATGGCTTCTCATCGGCAGGAAAAAGCTACGAAAAAAAAATAAATGAAAGATTAAACCAAAAAAAAATGTTCCCAGTTAAATACAAAAATTTTTGATAATAATTTTATCTCTAATTTTAATGAGCAGAGGTTTAAAAATTTTTTTATTTCTGCTCATTTGAAAAACTGTAAAAATTAGTTGTTAATAACTTTATTAACACTTGTGCGCAAATTTTTTATTATTTAAACTTTATACTTAATACTAAGAAGACAATTGTTTTATGAAACCATATAAATTACTGTTACATAAAACAAGATTTTACTAAACATATATATTTTAAAGAATCCTATTAAAGAAAATTTTAAATTTACCAATAAATCATTTATTACATTTGCTGTAAGAACTTGCGAGAAAATAATTAAAAAGATTTAAAGGAAAAAAAAAAGTGACTAAATACATTTAAAAGAAAAAATGTCCTCAATTAAATATAGCAATTATTATATATTTTTATATCATTATGAAAATAATATACTAAGTATTTTTATTAAAACAATAATAAAATAATCATTCAGGTAAAAGAGGTTTTTAACAACCAGTAAAATGAAAATAATTTTAAATAAGTAAAGCAAAAAAGTCTGTCAACAAAGCAAATTAAAGGAGCATGTCGTAAACAATAAATCATGATTATTTGTAATCATAATTTATTCATCATGATTATTTGTAAAATCTTATTTTTCAAAACTCCAATTTTTTTTTAACCGGTCAAATATGACTAGCAAAAATTCATTTTGGGAGGTCAAAATAGCGGTTTTAGTCATTTCAGGTGGTCTTTGACCAGTTGTTATTTTCCACGCTAAATATATATATATATATAAACACACATATATATATATATATATATATATATATATATATATATATATATATATATATATATATATATATATATATATATATATGTATATATATATATATATTCTTGCATGGTAGTTGAAAAGTTTCTTCTATAAACTGTAGTTTTAGAGAAAAAGCTTAAAAACTTGAATAAAGTTTTTTTTTTTATTAAATAATAGATTGCTTGCCCAAACCAAACACTCTGCCATTGCAGCAGACTATAAGATTGATGTAGCAGCACTCCTTTGTAGCAGCAGACTATAAGGCTATTTGTCAGTCGTTGTAGCAGCACTCCCTTGCGAGTCAGGCTATTTGTCAGTCGATGTAGCAGCACTCCGTTGCGAGTCAGGCTATTTGTCAGTCGATGTAGCAGCACTCCATTGCGAGTCAGGCTATTTGTTAGTCGATGTAGCAGCACTCCGTTGCGAGTCAGGCTATAAGATAGTCGATGTAGCAACATTTACCCATGTTTTAAAAATGTTTTTTATTAAATCAATAACAAAAACACCACTAATTAAAAAAAACTTTCTAGTCGTTATAATTGCGGTTTTTTAAAAATTTTTTAAAAAACAATTAAATTTAATGTACTTCCGCATAAATTAATTGCTTTGACATTTCGATGACAATCAAAAACAGCTTAAGAGACGAGGTAATTAAAATTGTAGTCGTAAGAGACTTTTTTTACATTAAAATGCTCTTAAAGCTACACTATATGGGTATATATATATATATATATATATATATATATATATATATATATATATATATATATATATATATATATATATATATATATTTATATATATATATATATTTATATATATATATATATATATATATATATATATATATATATATATATATATATATATATATATATATATATATATATATATATATATATATATATATATATATATATTTTTATTTTACTTCACCTCCTTAAGGCCGAGAAGGCCACTACAGACGAGGAGGCTACTTATTTTGTGGCTTATTTTGTGTATTATTGTTTATTTGATAATCGGTTTATGCACAGTATATAATATATATATATATATATATATATATATATATATATATATATATATATATATATATATATATATATATATATATATATATATGATGAATATATATATATATATATATATATATATATATATATATATTTATTTATTTTTTTGCAATTTATTGAATATAAATCAAGAGCAACTGATCTTAGTTTTGCACAAAACATAATTTCTTCATGATATTTGTTATTATATCCAAAAATGTAGTGGTCCTAGTTATGATCGTGTCTGGAAAATTAAGAGCTGCGTTATCTAGAATTAAATTTATAAATTCAATAGGTTATTTTATTCACTGTATATGCCTTGATTTAGTTGTTAGTAAATCATGGAATGTTTAAAGTGTTAGAAATGTGTAAGCTATCTCAACAAGTTCATTTTTTCTGATCATGCAAAATTTCTTTATACGTGTCAAACTGGATGGGCTCAGAAACATAAAGGTCTAGATTTTTTTCACTCAATGGAAGAAATCACATACAGTTAAGTTAAGAATTTAGCTTTATCAAAGGTTTATCCCCAGTTCTAGATTTTTTGGTTGACTTTATAAGCAATTATGTCCATTTTGTCAAATTTTTTACATATTACTTAAAGTCAAATTTTTAATATTCATTAAATCATAACATAAAGTTTGATAAAATAACTATAATAATAAAGCCAAGTCAATAATCAAAAAAGTAATTAATAATAGGTAAAAACTTATTCTAAGCACCATTCTCTTGAAATTGAAAAAGTATTTAAAATTCTTACATAAGAAATGTTTTCTTGATGAAAACATATTAAAGCTAAAGAATCAAATCTTTTCTCGGTCATGCAAGTATCTGTAACAATGGATAGGACCACAGATTACAAAAATGTTTACTACAAATGTAATAAATAAAAAAAAAAGAAAAACTCCAAAAAATCTAACTTTTACAAACCTTTTTTTACAACAGTTGCAGTGAATTCATTTAATCTAAATTCTAATTCATTAATTAAATACTTTACAAAAAGTCAGGTAATGTAATGTTTAAATCTGAAACATCAAAAGTTTTGCTTTGATCAAGAGCAGTTGAATAACTGTAGGTATAATAAATATTAATATTTTTTTATACCTGAAATTTGTGCTTATTTATGTTACTCTGTTTTGATTATGTGATACACTATTACTCTGTAATAATAATAAACTCTGTAATATGTATGTGTATAATAATGAGTACACTACTGTCATTATTATACACATATGCATGTGTATAATAATGAATACACTACTTTGCATTATATAATTTTACTAAACTTAATAACAAGAAGCTAACACAGGATTTAATATTTCAAAGTGCAGCTGTACTTGTTTTTTAAATGCGGTTGTTACATTTTGAACCAATTTGAAGCATTTTGAAGTAGTTTTCTTCTCGATTTAAAATAAGTTTTAAAATTACATTTTCTTCCAAATGCTAATATATTATTATTTTAAAGGTTATATATGCATTTTGAGTAGTGTGAATGGGCAGTTAAATCATTAACAGCATTGAATCTCTTATTTTTCATTATTAAAATAAATTTTTATTTTAACTTTGCCAAACAAAATTAACAAATAAAAAAACATTAAAAACATTATTAGAATGCATTTTAATAATGCAGGTGGAAATTCTGTATTTAAAAAAAAATAGAAGCCTCAGTATAATGAAAAATGTAGAGATGTCACAAATAGTAATTTTGCTGAATAACAAATATTTGGTTAGGCGCACAGTCAAAGCACAGAATATTTGGCTGCCAAATATTCAGTGACACTTAGTTAACTTTGAAGGCTCCCATCTGCTTCATTGAAGTGGATTCTTTAACTAGACTGTATGCATTTAAGTGTTCATTTGTGACTAGGCCATGTCACAGCACGCATTATTTGTTGAATGTTGATTGTCAAATTGTTTAAACTGTAGTTATGTATAAAAGTTATCATTCTCTTAAATAGCCAGTTCAGGTATGTCTTGCATTTCTGAAGTAATTTGAGAAGTTGCTATTGATAGATATAGCACAAAGAAGTCTAAATTTTTAAAAATTATCTCTTCACTAAAACCTGATCATTGAATTTAACTTATGATTTAATGGAAATGTCAACTATACGGTAGCCTTTTTTTATTTTTGTATTTAAAGTTTAAAAGCTCTGAAAAAGATTAATTCAGTGAAGGATTAATCTTTCTCAGTGAAAAGCTACTTGACATCAATGAATCATCACTGGTGCCTGGCAGCACCTGTGATGATTCATCTCCACTTCCTGAGAAAAAGTAATGTAAATGAAAATGGTCAAACCAATATCTAGAAAAAATGTGTAAACATCTGAAGATGTAGAAAAGAAAAGTCTGTTTGCAAATTAAATTAGTTTTTACATGAAATTGTTAGCTTAAATTGGACATCAAGCCCTTACAAGTTATGGTCAGCTAGTGCAAAACATCATCGAAACAAAACTTGATAAAATTTTTTATTAAAAAAAAAATACCTGTCAGTAGCCCGATAGGATGACCAGACATTTTGTTACTTACAATACTGTGTTTATTAACCATATTTTGGTATATGAAGATTTTCTTTCTTTTGAATATTTAAAAAAAAACTTTTCAAACTTTTAAAAGCATTTAAAGTAGTATACATTTCATTTAACAACGAGTGATACTACAGTGCGTTATATAATTTTACTAAACTTGATAAAAAATAACAAAAGTATACTACAGTTATTAAAATGATGCACGTGGAAATTCTTTTTTTCTAAAAAAAAAAGAAGTATAATAAAAAATGTTTAAAACATTAAAAACAATGTTTTAAACATTTAACTAAATTAAATTTGATTGAAGATTGAGATATAATAATAGAATATTTTTCTTTTTTATAAACTGTTTCTTTGCGGTTTTGGCTTTTAACTTTTTTGCTTCATGTAATGAAATCTTTGTTAAGATTGACAAAAAGAAACAACACGAAACAGATATCAACTACGACAAAAATGACAATCTTTAAAATTTTTATTTATAGTTATCTCTTTACCAATATCTCTTTGTAACTAAAGTTACTTAACAATATTTTTTAACAGGTTATAGCATTTCACCTTTTTTATTAATTAATTTAAATTTATTAATTAATTTATTTCAATTAAATCACTTCTTATTAGACAAATTTAAGTAGTCAGACGTTTAAATTTTTGTTCTTCATTATGTTCACCCGAGAAAAAAATACCAAAAAAAAAATATTACACCGAGCTACTGATTATCATAGTGGACAACTCAAATAAGAAAAAAAATCTGTTTTAGTTGCCCAAAGGGCGACCGGTAAGAAACCGGAGGGTACACCACTGGCAGGGCAACCAAAAAAACCCGCAGGACCACTGACTTACAATAGAAAAAAAAATTGTTATAACATTTAAAAACAGTAGGCTTTCGAACATGAATCAATATATATATATATATATATATATATATATATATATATATATATATATATATGTATATATATATATATATATATATATATATATATATATATATATATATATATATATATATATATATATATATATATATATATATATATATTGAAGTAGTGGTTATTATAAATATATATACATATTTTGAAGTAGTGGTTAAGATCGGTTTTTTACTGATGAAGAAATTGATATAGCACTTTCTACCCTTTTGTCAATAGATCTTGTTCAAAAGAATATCCAAGCATTTGTCAAAACATAAAGTTCCAGATAAAAAAATAAAAGATGTCCAAGATATCTGTAGACTAATGCTTGACATTTCTTCCTTCAACGTTGATACTGGTATAAAATGTTCGCAAAAGACTTGTCACGTCTTCCCTTAGTAGACACTGATAACATGGGTATCACAACTATATCGCAGCAGATACACTTCATGCAGTCTGATATTCTCAATCTTTGTGTTACAGATAATCAAATAAATTATAATAACAACTTAAGTTCCACTAGTTTTCTCTCTGTTGAATGTAATACCCACATTTCGAACCTGACTGAGCTGGTTTATAATATGGCTACAGTTGACTCATAATATCTTGAACTCTCAGGGGACCGGAAAAATAGTTTGAGATATCAAAAGTTCGAAATATTGAGAGGGTTTGGGCTCAAACAATTGCACCAGGAACTGGAAATAAAGTTCGAGATCAAGATATTGAGAATAAACTGTATTGAGCTAAAATATTTTTTGAATCAATTCATGGTGTTGATCAATGAAAAGTTGCATTATTTATTCATAAATTTTGAAAAACCTTTCAAATCTGTTAACAAATGAAACAAACAGACCCAACTTCTTATTTATGACAAGCAGACCCTGCTTCCTGTCAATGACTGGCCATTCCTTCCAACTGCTAATGTTAAACCAACCCTCCCTGATCCTAACCCTCAAACTCAAGTTAATTCTCTAACTAATTCAACTTACAAAATTGAATTAAATTCAGTATCAAATGGTTCTGTTACTGATGCTCACTTATTTGTTGATCATGCTAATGATTTACGATAATGATTTTTACTGATATGGTAATCTTTTATCTAAAGAGACCTCTCAACCAGTATCAGGCTCTTTTGATTTCTAAACTGTCACTTATCTGAAGAAAAAGAGAAAGCAAAAAGTGCTTATTGGTTCTGAAAAAATTCTAAATAATTTGTGTTTGTTAAAGTTGCTTTATTCTTATGATTGCTCTAAAATTACATCTTTATCTGTCTTTTGTTTATTGCCAACTGTCTGTTGAGGAATCAACTGAATTTGTCAACACAACATTGAAAAGCAAAGCCACTTGCTTAAAAAATTGTTATAAGTAAATATACTTGACTAATTGTTATATTTTTCATATGTTATAATTGTTATATTTTGTTGTATTTATAAGTAGTTTTATATTTGTAAGTATGGTTATAATTGTTATATTTTGTTATATATTATAAATGTTATATTTTTTATATGTTATAATTGTTATACTTAACTAATTGTTACAAGTAAATATTGCTCTTCCTTTAAAGTATCTGTCTCTGCTGGAGATGCTATCAAGCTCTACAATGGTAACAAATAGAAAATGCGCTTGTGCATTGTTTATTTGAGAATGGTAGTTAGAATTTGTTGCTTAAATTGTTGTGGTATACAAAGTTCCACACATGAATTATTACTCGTGTCTGCCATATATGATATGTTTCGAAGAAATTTGGTTACTTAACACTAAACTTAGTTTCCTGAACAACATTATACCTGGTTTTTATAGCTTCAAAGTGTCTCCAACTGATTCATCAGTAGGTTTTGTTTGTGGCAGACCTTTTGATGGTGTTGCTTCCTTGTGTCATGATTCTGTGTTCTGCAGGACTTGAGTAGTTATTACTAATAATTCATAGTCTGTTGCTATCTAACTTGTTAATGACTTTTTTGATAAGTTCACAATTATCAATGTCTACATACCTAGTGATTCATATGAGAATGTTGATAAGTATCTTGAATGCCTTAGTAGTCTTTCAGTACTTTTTTTTATCATTTATTTTTGATTTAAAGGGTAAATTTGTTGTTACCGGTAACTTTGTGATCCACGATTCCGATTTTTGTGTAGTAATCTCCTAATTGATTTCTTTACTGATGAAAATCTTGTCACAGCTGATATCTGTCTTCCACATGGTTCCTTTACTTTTAATAGTAAAGCATGGGGCACCTCTTCTTAGATCAATCAACCAATTCATTTGATCACTTGCCTCTTGCATTTGATATCTTGTATAAAATTGATGTCTCTTCCTCCTTCTACTTCAACAAGATCTCTCAAAATAAATTTTAATGCTTTGTCAACCAATATGATAAAGGAGTACACTTCTACTGTATTTAACCTGGTGTTTTCAATTAATCATTTTAAAGTAATTAATTGTAGTAAAGTTCATTGTAACTCACTTGAGCACATTAAGCAGATTAACTACCTGTACAATGAATGAATGTCTTACTCAATCTTCTTCTCAGTGTCTTAACCATACTTAATCAAGTTTCAATAAAAAACAATCTATACCAGGTTGGACAGATTATGTAAAAGATTCTCATAAGGCTGCTAGAGATGCATTCTGACTATGACATAGCTATAACACCCCAAAATTTGGCTTGACCTTCAATCTTTTTAAAAATGTAAGAGCTTTATATAATTATGCCATTTGTCCCTGTAAAAAAGAAGAAAATACTATAAAAGCAGAAAAGCTGACAAACTGCCTCTTCAAAAAATGATTAGAATTTCATTTTCAAAATGTTAAAATGTTTTTGATCAGTAAAATAATCAAAGTATTAAATTTGGATTCAAAAAATTTTTATTTATTTTTCCTTAAAAAAAACAAAAAAAAACATTTTAATCTTAAAGGCAATTTAACTTTTAAGAATATAGTTTGAATTTTGACTATAGAAAAAGAAAAACAAAATGTTAAACTTATCACTGGAGTCCAGGTCCTAAAATATCTATTACTGGAGTCAAGGTCCTAAAAAACCTATCACTGGAGTTATAGAAAGCCTGATTTGATTGGTTAAAACTAATGGCTGAATTATGAAAAATGAATGAATGGCCGAATGGTCTAAAAATAAATGGTCTAAAACTAAATGGTCAAAACTAAAAGTCTAAAACTAAATGGTCTAATTTTAGTCTTAGAAAAAGCGTTTTTAAAACATTGTCTATATCTTTGTCATTGTGATTTCAACAGCACTTTGCTTAATTTATTAAAATATTTTGACGTTTATTGTTATTAATAAAAGATTTTTAATTGTAGTTTAAATTTCTTAACACAAAAAATAAAAAATCACTCAATAAAATGCATCAACATTTTTTTAAATATTCAAAAAAAAGTTACTATACTTCACATGCTTCGCTATCAGTAAATTTACATAGCATGTAACATAGCAGTGAAATGCCTGCAACAGACTTGTAACATAGCAGTGAAATGCCTGCAACAGACTTGTAACATAGCAGTGAAATGCCTGCAACAGACTTGTAACATAGCAGTGAAATGCCTGCAACAGACTTGTAACATAGCAGTGAAATGCCTGCAACAGACTTGTAACATGGCAGTGAAGTGCCTGCAACAGACTTAGGAAGTTAAAATGTATTGTCCTCCTAAAAGGTTTGCGCATCACATAGAAAGCTAGTAGAATTCAATTAAATCATCAGAAATTGTTAGAGTGTAACTAAATGCCTTTGATAAATAGTTACTTTTTAATAAAAGTATTTTTTTTTTATAGATAAGTGACAATGATAAACTGGCATTATCTTGGATAGGGTATCTGGGATGTGGGTTATCTTTGTTTTCCTATATGTTTACATTTGCTATATACTATTTAATAAGGTTAAAGAATTTTTTTTTTTTTTTCAATTTTTTGTAAAAGGAAAAACTCATTTTTATTTTTATAACATTTGGTTTGATTTTTTTTAGATCATTGTTAACTGAGCGCTCCCTTATTCATTTAAACTTGGTAATCTCATTGTCTATTGCTCAGACAGTATTTTTATTGGGGATTACTGCAACTCATAACAAGGTGGTCAAACTTAGTTTTTTTTTAAATTGAAAACCATTAACTCTTACGCAAACATTTTTTAAAATTCTGTATAGTTTGTTTACATAAAGTTTTATAATTTTTTTCAAAATTCAAAATAACTCATAATATTTTTGCATGTTATTACAGCTTATTAACTCATAATACGTTTGCATGTTGTTACAGCTACAATATCCACACAAAGTTATGAAATAAAGTTGTAGTTATGCAACTGAGCCACGCAACCGAGTTGGATCTTTAAAATAGATTTAATTTTTGCATTTTATATCATTAAAACAAATGTATTTTGTTTTAATCAAAAAATTTATGTTTAGAGTCTATGCACATTTATAGCAGTGTTGCTTCATTATTTTTTTACTGCTGCATTTGGTTGGATGTTATGTGAAGGCATTCATCTTTATGTCAAAATAGTTAGCGTTTACAATAACTGGGCAAAAATGTATTTTTATCATTGTATTGGTTGGGGTAAGTTTTTTTTTTTTTAAGTTTTATAGGTTACTATTCATTAAATATGCATTTAATAATTATTTTTTTATGCATAATATAAACAGACCTTGGCAAGTAGAAATGAGTGCAAGAGCAGTGAAAAGCTCTCCTAAAACAAACATGGCGAGCTATGCGAGCTGCCTCTCTAAATTCTTTAGATGAGCACTGTTTTTATTGCTTATAAAAAGTTTTATATTTTCTTATTGTAATAGAATGCAGGGATTTAAAGAATTGTTTAAGATAATTATTAAAATGACTGCATTTTTTATTTTAGTTACAATGATAATTATCATTGTATTATTTTATATGTATTATATTTTATATGTAATATATAATTAAACTTTTGAGGGAAAAAAATATACTTTTGCAAGAGCCATAAATTGCTCCCGTAAACCGTTTTAGGGGAGTTTGGGTGAGAGTGAGAGCTAAAACTCTTGCTTCCCGCCCAGGCCTGTATAAATATTATAAAACATATAGTGGTGTGTAGTGGTAAGAGTGCTCGCTTTGTTAGCGAGAGGTTCGGAGTTCGACTCCCACCATGTCCCTGGAAGTACCACGCTCAACTTAATTTCTTCGCGCAGCGGTCTTGCTTGTCAAGTTTCGTGTTTCGGAGTTAAAGAGTTGAGAGAGGGTTGTACCACTACTTACAACAAAAAATAAAAAAATAATTAAAAAAAAAATAAAAAATAAAAAAAATAAGTAGCCTCCTCAACTGTAGTGGCCCCCTCGGGCCTTGGGGAGGTGAATATTTAAAAAAAAAAAAAAAAAAAAAAAAAACAATATGAAAATCTATTCTTTATATTTTTTTTTCAATTAAAAACCTAACTTTAAAAAAATGTTTAACTTTACAAAATGCGCCAAATGATAATGATGATGATCAGATAAAAGCTGTTGCTGCTTATGATGATAATAATTATCAACATCATCATCGATATTATAGTATAATTATAAAATAGTTTTATAATTAATGCGATGCGATAAAAATATTAAAAGCTTACATCTATTTATCATGATCATAATGAAAAGAACTGGGTTCTAGGTGGTTGAGAAATTTAAATTATTACAGTTATTTTTTCTAATACGTAGTATTTATTTTTGAAAGGTACACCTATCATTATTGTTTCCATATCCGCAGCTATTCGTAGTGATGGTTATGGGACTGAAGAGCATTGTTGGATCAGCATTAACAATGGCCTGATTTGGGCTTTTGTTGGTCCAGTTCTATTGGTGATATTAGTAAGTAATTATTTGAAAAATCTTTTAAAAATAATTCATTATAAAATCTTTTTTTTTCCACATTTGAATTTCAAAAAAAAGTAGTTATCTCAATTATCTTGTAGAAATAAGCTTATAGAGATAATCTTATAGAAAGAACTTTGCAACCATAGCAACCATATATCATTTTTTAACTTTTTACGCATTAGTTTATAAAACATTTAACATTTTTAATTTTTAGCAGTCCTATAACTAATGCCTAATTTAATTTAGGAAGGATTATATTTCTTTTTTGTTAAGATCAATGTGGTGGTCATGGTGATGGTGATTAAAATATTAGTTTCATCATTAAATGATCCAGTGAGTTTGAACATGATTGAGCTAAGACAGAAAATAAGGTGATTTTTTTTAAAGAGTTGTTTTTTATTTAAATTATTCACCTTGGTTGTAAGGGCCCACTACATAATAACAAAAAGTAGAAAAGACCTTTTCTACTTTTTGTTGTTATTGTGTTGTTGTTATTATAACCCTATTTTGACTCTATAATTCCAATTGGCAAGCAAGGTCACTGCACAAAGAAACTAGTTGAGCATGTTGCTACCAGAGATGTGGTGAGAATAAAATTTATTGACCGAATCTATTTCTTACAAACTATAGAGTTTGTTCAGTATTGTGGCTTGTTGTTTTGGTTGCTTGCTTGCTGTTGTGGTTACTTGCTTGTTGGGGTTTGTTCGGTATTGTGGCTTGCTTTTTGTTGTGATTTGTTTAATTTGTGATCTACTTGTTGTTTAGTAGAATATGTGTAATTATCATATTAAATTGTGATTTGTTAGAAACATTCTTTTCTTAAACCTTTGAAACATTCTTTCCTTGAACCTTTTTTCAATCAAAGTTATTACCCAATACTTCACTAAATGCAGAAGGCATATTTGTTTTTGTTATGCATGCCAGAAAAATTAGAAAATTAATGGCTAGGCTATGGCTTTTATGGAGAAAAAAAATTATAAACTTTAGGCAGAATTTCAGTACAGAATCCGAGCTTGAAGGGATTTTTTGAAGCCAAATTCACTCTGATTTTAAAATACACTCTGCTTCTTTTAAAACACCATTCCTATTGAATAAATTGCAAATAACTGCATCTACACATTACCTCGAAAATTCCATTTTAGTGCTTCTTTTTGCTACTCTCCTTAATCAAGTGCATTGTTGTCCAGCTGTTATATGTAATGCATTAAACTTATAAACTTGTTTGCAACTTATGACACAATAAAAATTAAAATTTCAGAAAAATAGGCAAATAAATAAAATTGTCAAATAAATATATTAAATCTTGTTTTAAATATGTTTAAATATTAAACAACTTGTTTTAAATATGTTTAATAAGTTAATAAATCCTGGTTTTGACACTGCATTGTATTGAATTGTAATTGAACTGAACTGTAAGGCATTTTTGTTATTGCAAGAGTTTTGCAAGTATATACATATATATAAATGTGTGTACATATATATATATATATATATATATATATATATATATATATATATATACATATATATACATATATATATATATATATATATATATATATATATATATATATATATATATATATATATATATATATATATATATATATATATATATATATATATATATATTCTATTCTATTTAATATTTTTGCAGAGCAAGTTTGAAAGGAATGGTTATTTTGCTTCCAATACTTGGCATTACTTGGACATTTGGAATATTTGCAGTGAATTCAAATGCAATTGCATATCAATACATTTTTACACTTTCTTCATCTGTCCAGGTAGTTGATCAATAAATTGTAGACTAGTAATAGTGATAAAAAAAAAAAATTCATTTTATAGTTAGTTTTTTTAAACTTTGTGTTTATAGGGCGTCTTTATATTTTTGCTTCATTGCATTGGAAACACAGAAGTGAGAAGTGCTTTAAAGAGATTACATGAAAATCGTTTACAAAATAAAACGGTTAAAAAAAAACTCTCATTCTTTGTAAGTTGTTTTATATCAATTTTCATATTTTCTATTTTCATGTTTCCAATATTTGATATGTTAATGGATTACTGTCTAGTGGGTAAATGGGTTACTGTTAACCCAAGAGTGAGCGTTGTGTACATTTAAAAATTGGCTTTCAAGTTAATTTTATTTAGAGAACAATAGCAGAAAATTTGAGGAATTTAGTTTTTCACGAATCAAAAGGTAAATATATATAATATAATATTTTCATACTATACATATATATATGTATATTAGTTTATGGTTGAGGTAGGTTGGCATGAGGTAGATAGGTTGGAGGGTTGAAGTAGGTGGACATGAGGTAGGTAGAGGTAAGTGGGCATAAGATAGGTCGGTGGGTTGTGTAGGTGGGCACGTTTGAAACTTCTGTTAATCACTTGTTTAATGTTGTGTAACAAACAATTGCAAGCCCAATTTATTGTTTATTAATTAAATTCATTAATTTTTTATTTTTTTATTATGCTTTTATTAAACTTTCATTGAGTTCAATGTTTTAAAAATTTATATTAATATTTAAATAAAAAATTAAGTGTTTAAACATTAAAAATAAAATTTAGGAAATAATTGTTATAAGTCATTTTTTGATTCTCTGAGCACCATTTTAGTTTATTTTTACAGAGTTTAAAAATCGAAAAGGATTTTATTATGACAATTATTTAAGGTATTTGGAATAGGAAACGTTTTCAGTTTTAAATTTTTTAAATTTTTATTTAGTTTACACGCTCAATTCACCCAAAGTTACAAATCTTTCTTATGTAAGTTTTCACTTTTATTGATATATGTATTAATGTATGTATATTATTACTATTATTATTACTATTATTATTATTGCTATTATAAATAATCTACAAAAGAAGTAGTTAGTTCTATGAACTGGACATCTAAAGAAGAAGTTCTATGAACTGGACATCTAAAGAGGTCCTGCTATAGTAGCTTTTATTCTAGTGGAGCGAAAAAATTTTCGAATTTTATTTTAAATTAGTTGACATAAATACAGGAAACAACAGAAGAAGGCAAGGCATTCCATTGGGATGCAATTCTATTAGGTGAGATGTCATGTCTATGCAAGTTATTTGAAATTTTTCTGACAATGGTATGGTTTGAGAAACAAGTGGGTGTTTCATTTGGATTTAGGAACTTGACTTCATTAAAATTCTTGTAGATTATGAATTACTAAGTCAAATCGCCTCTCATTTGTCGTTTTGAAATTGTAGTTAATATATATATATATACACACACACACACAGTGCTGAGGCGGGATGCCATCCCGTCACCTTTTTATAAATCTCTATATATATAACAATAATTAGGCGGGATGGTATTGGTAATTTACTGAATACCATCCATATATATATATATATATATATATATATATATATATATATATATATATATATATATATATATATATATATATATATATATATATATATATATATATATATATATATATATATATGCATATATATATGTAAGTATATAATACTACCAAGGTTGCTGCTCAAGTGAGCATTTGTCTTTTGTTCTCAAAAAACTTTATCCTTTATTCTCAAAAAGCGTTTTCATCTAAATTTTTTCAATGAACATTGAAGCTTTTGAAATCTCTACAAGTTTTCTTGACGTAAGTTTTCTGACAACTGTTTTCTTTCCCTTTATCTTCTGTTAACTTCCAACATATCATATGATAGCTTAAAGCATTTGTTTAAGACAAAAAAAAAAAAAACTATTTAATGCCATATGATTTTTATTTTGGTTTTATTTAGGTACAAACAAAGAACTCTTCATCATTTTACTCTTTAAACAATGCCGAATTGACAAGTCACGAAAATCATTCCAACAATACCAATGTCGACATCAAAGTTTAGTCTAAAGTTAAAAAACGAAGGCTTTGATATTTAAGAAGATATGTTAATATTTCCTCTAAAGACCATATACTTAAAATAAAACCGGCGAAGATAATACTAATTTATCTAAAATGACCACAACAATTGTTTATTTTAAACTTCGCTTTAGCTGTACGATGTGTATATACTTAATAAATAATGTGCATACATAACTGCGTATGTATACATAGTATTGCACTTATCTTTTTTTTTGTAGAATTAAGCAGCGTTTACGAAGACTTGCGTAAAAAATATTTTTGTATACTCATTTTATACTTGTATCATTAGTAATAATACTTATTAAGACTCTTAAGCTAATTAAAGTTGATGCTTTTGTTAAGCTTTGCTCGTATTGATATATATATATATATATATATATATATATATATATATATATATATATATATATATATATATATATATATATATATATATATATATATCTATATATATATATATATATATATATATATATATATATATATATATATATATATATATATATTATATATTTATATATATTTATATATATATTGTTAAGCTTTGCTCGTATTGATATATATATATATATATATATATATATATATATATTATATATATATATATATATATATATATATATATATATATATATATATATATATATATATATATATATATATATATATATATTTATATATATTTATATATATATTGTTAAGCTTTGCTCGTATTGATATATATATATATATATATATATATATATATATATATATATATATATATATATATATATATATATATATATATATATATATATATATATAGATATAGATATAGATATAGATATATATAGATATAGATAGATAGATAGATAGATAGATCCCATATTTCAAGGGGTTGCTTGAAAATATGGTTGAAGATGGAGTTCTATTGGAAGAATTACATCAAGAATAGGCTCAGATTGCCTATAGGGGTTAATTAATGTAGGATAGACAATATTTTTATAATTCATTGCTTCTAAAGAGAGGAATCCAGCATAGCTGTTGCATAAAGAACTAAATGTTCTTGATTGACCAGAGTTTGTAAGGTTGTTGGACTCGACATTACACCAGCAACATGGGTGTGTGCTAGAGTGAGGCTGGATACCACTTATAATGTTGGCTACTTTAATGCCACATTAAATTATGTAAGACACATCTTCAAATGTTATGGGGCTTAATAGTTACATAAGATTTTCATAGGTTTCAGGAATACATTCTGCTGCAGCAACAGTCAGCTGTTTTTTTACACCACCATCCTGGGGAGAAGAACTTGATTGGAGACATGATGATCCTTGAGTATAACTTTGCTTGGAGTATGTATCAACTACGCTGAGGATAGTTTTCAAAAATGAACCACCTCCATCAATTCCAAGTTTATTTAAATGATGTAATGTAAATTATTTGAGTTTTTGCAGTGAACAACATTTTAAACTTGGTTTTTCATTTCTTTGTCTAGAATGACAACATTTGACATCATGGAAAATCTGCTAATTTTTTCCAGAGGTTTTCAAGTTTTCGCTTCACGTTTGCCTCAACAAATCTTTTTTTCATTGAGCTGTTCAGAGCTAATGCAAGTCTTTTCACACCAACATTGGAAAGATTCGTATTGTTTTGAACATAGACCAATGCTTCAGCAGTAAATAGTTGCTGCTTGTAGTTCGCTGAATGTCCTGGCAGAACTTTTAAAAATTTACCTCCATCTGTTCGATTAAGTTTGAAAGTACCTCCTGGAGAGGCATCTTTTTTAAAGATCAAATCAGCTGCTATTTGTTCAGCACACTTATGGTCCTCTGCAGCAAGTTTCTGTACATTTTCCCGCCATCTATCATAGTGCAAAAGTGTGGATGTCCTTTCGCAAGTTCTTACAAAGAAATACTGCATCTTTTTTTGCTGGCTGTGATGATGAAGGTTTGGGACTAAAAGCTTTGATACGGTCAGTTTCATCGTAGACTTTTGTTTTTTGGTTCTATATATAAAACTCAATCTGTGGCAGATTTTCTTTGAGCTTTAATTTAACGACCCTACAAATTACAAACTAGAAAGCACCAGAATGTCTAGTATATGGCTTAATGATAATTAATTGAAATTGTACAAGTCTGGTATCTGTCCAATAATACTAACAGTATCAAGTCGTTATAGTTTGCTTCTACATGAATTGCAAATGCCAGTTGGAAATTTCTCATCATTGAAATTAATATTACACTTAAAAATATTCTTCACTCTTTCAATCAAAAAATTAGTTAGTATTTTTTTAAACACAAAAAGCAAACAAATTTTCTGCAATCACCATGAGTTTTTGCTGAATTGGGCATTTTTTTACTAAGACAAATTATTTTTTAACAGAAATACCAATTTATTTGTTTACATTATTTCTGCGGCAAAAATTTGGCGCCAACATATTTCAAATTTATTGCCTTTAGATTAAAATTTTTAATAAAGAAGGAAAAAAAGTTAAACAATAAGCTAATACAATGTTGTTTAGAGATATTTGCAACATTTAAGACAAAACAAAAGGGTTTTTTACTGACTTTAGGCAGTGGAAACGCATTTTGAAAATTAAGTTTCATAGTGCAAATTAGGCAAAAACTTTAAATCCCCTGCAGACGAAAATAAAGAATTTTAATTTTTGTTTCAAATTGATCACCGTAACCTATAGAATCACCCCTCTAAGGGATTTTTTGGGTCATTTCCAAAGAGGTTAGGACCCCGTTTTGAACAACTGTGGTTGGCAAGTATCACAAAGTTCAGTTTCTCTTCCAATTGAATCAGACCAATTATTAGGTCTTGACTTTGTCTATCAATTTTTTGAATTAAATATTTTTTGCCATGTATTTGACATAAAACAAGCATAGCATAGGTATTTTTAGTTCAAATTCCAATTATAGCACCAATTAAAGATTTGGTACTAAAAACTCTTCCGTCAGAACCTATGGCAATGAATTAAGATTTATCAATGCTGTTCTGAATTAAAAATATGCTTATGCTTGACTTAATGCTATCGGCATATCTTGATGTATGGTATATGCATGATATTTTGGCCATTGTTTCTGTACTAAAACTATCTAAATTCCAGACTGGAGCACACATATTGGATCGAATACTTCATCTGTGCACCACAAAACCAGGACAAAAGACTCTGTCTCAAGAGGCTGCCAGTAAAATTGTAGTTGCCTCTTGAGACAGAGTCTTCTGTATGTTCAATGGTACGTAGAACCATTGAACATACAGTAAATGAGTTCAACGATAGCGTGATCAAACACGCGTATTCCATACAGTTATACCAAAACAAGTTGTACCAAAAGAAACTGGAGCAACAATTTAACGTGACAATGACAAAAAAAGATGAATAAATCTATTAAAGTAACTGTTTCGGGTCTTACACTTTTACGTGTCTTGGCACCGTGTCTATGAAGTGGAGCAGGCAAAAGAAACGAGTACACCAATGGCTTTCATCAGCTCAGAAAAAAACATAACGGCTTAATGACCACCAAACTCATAAGAACTGACGTAACCTGCATCACCAGAACATGTTGACAGCAGACCTCCCAATGACTTTAATCCTGAATTCAAAATTCTCACCTTGAATATGGGTGAATCCGATCATCTGCAGCGACAAAACAAATCAATTTCATCTGCAGCGACAAAACGAAAATCAGATTTTCAATTGTTTTCTACTTCAACGGTGGGCTTCTCCTCCCCAGATCATTATTCATCTCCGAAAATAAATGTTCAAATAAATGTCATCGCGCAGCTTAGTACATTGCAAACTACAAGGTGAGAAGAAATGATCAAATTGGAATCATTGTAACTTCAGCGAACGTAGTATTTTGACAGAACTGATCCATTGCTAGTGACCTTCTAGGTCACCAGCAGTGGGCCAGTTCTGTCCAAATACTATAAATCTGATAATACCTCGGAGTCAAACAGTAACACCTCTGGTCCTGATATACGGAAGCGAAGGCGTACATGCAACAATCTGAATTACGTATTTCCCAGTCCACGATGCATTGATATGTATCTTTAAGACGCGGCATTTCTGAACTAGAGCATGGTTGCCGATCTCATACTTGATAAAGGTGATTCAGTCGTCACAGTCTGGATGACACAACCAAAAACAGCTTGTCATAATATTAAAATATTAAACCAATCATATAACTATAATCAATCCAAATAAACAAAGGAGAACAGTCACTGCCGGCTACACAGAAAATGCCATTCTGGATCAGATGGAGAAGAATCATATTGTTTCAGACTTAAATGCTTAGCAGCTCTAGCTGACGTTACGGTAGATGATATATTCGATTCTATAAACTTCTTCATGACTAATTGAGGTGAAGACAATGTGACATTACTAGAAAGCTTAGATGTGGGCAGCCAGAAAATCATCAAATGTTCTGCTCATGTTATTTTGAATTTGAACCATGCCGTACACAAAGTATTCAGAAATGCGGAACAAAAAGTCGGTGGTCTTAAGTTGCTGCATCTTTTTGCATGCAAAGAAGCATTCAGTTCTCCCAGCATTAGTATTCACACACTAAGCTAAATGCCACTTTTAAGCTTTTGTCGCCGAAACATGCAGCTAGTTTTGACTACCCTACAACGAGTACAAATAATGGCTGAATGCTTTAAAAACCATTTGCTTCAATATCCAAACGAACTAGATTACTTTAAAAATTTAAATTGTTATTATCAAGAGATGTAAGGTTTGGTTCTGATTGAACATTTGATTCAAATTTGGAACAAAAGGTGTAAGGTTTGGTTTGGATTGAACATAAGTTTTATCAACGTCTTTACCTCCGTCAGAAATGCGTAATCCGTATATCAATTTTGCAAATCGCTTCTCTCATTCGAAGCATTATTTTATTGAAATGAGAATTCTGAATATATACGAGTTAAATGTATTTAATATTTTATGTTTTGTATATATGTGGATAAATAACTTATCCCTAGCTGTCTTCAAAGATCTTTTCTCTTTTAAACTAATCAATAAATATATTTTGAGAAATAATAACTTTTTCAATGAATCTTTCTGTCAAACAAACTTTAATCAATTTGTATTACCTATCGAGCGCCATAACTTTAGAAACTGTTTTGCCAAATTTTAATTATGCTATTACATTTTATCTTTTTAATAAAAAACTGAAAAATCTCGTATTCTTTCATAAGATAATATAATGAGTTATTATTAGTATTAAAAGTTAAAAATATATTCTGGTCTATTTTTTTATTGTTTATGTACATGTTTATGTACATGTCTATTTTTTATTGTTTATGTACATGGTCTTCGAAGTAACTTTTCTTCTGTTGAGTCTTACCTCTTGCAAAGTTCACTAGACCTACTTGCTCTTTGAGAGACTAATTTGAGTTTGGCTGTCTCATCTTGTGATCTTAGTGTTGATCGTTATCTTCCTTTAATTCGTAAAGACTCCAATAGTCACATGCTTGGCCTGGGCATTAACATTTGTTAGAATTCACCCATTTGTCGGGAAACTAGGTTTGAATCCACAGACTACTCTTTTATGTGCTTTCGTTTAACCCAACTTCACTTTATCACCTTTTTCTTTGTTCTGTATTGCTCTACTTCATCTCAAGACTGCACTCTTCTTGATGTTATTTCTGATCATATTGACTTAGCCCTTTCTCTTTATATATCAGCCAATATTGTTGTTATTGGTGACTTTAATGTTCATCAAACAGAATAGCTTGGCTTTAGTATCAGTGACTCTGCAGGCATTAAAGCCCACAACTTTTGCCTTTCTCAATCTCTTACTCAAATAGTCACTTTCCAACTCGCTTTCCAGACAACCCGATTCATTTACCTTCACTAATCAACTTATATCTTTTTTCTGATCCTAGTCAGTGCTCCGTTTCTCCACATTCACCCTTAGGTGCCTCGGATCACAGTTTGATCTCTCTGAAATTATTATCTCATTCTTCTTTACCATCAAAATCCTCCTATCATCGTACATCTTACAACTACCTTAAAGGTGACTGGGACTCTTTCCGTGATTTTCTTCGTGATGGCCCTTGGGTAGAAATCTTTCACCTTCCTGTTGGCAAATGTGCTTCTTACATAACTTCGTGGATTCAGGTTGGCATGGAATCCTTTATTCCCTCTCTACAATTCAAGGTCAAGCCTACTTCTTCCCCATGGTTTTCCTCAAATTGTGCTGCTGCAATTGCCAATCGAAACCATTACTTCCATATCTATCAGCAAAACAATTCTCTAGAAAACAGACGTCTGTTTATTACTGCTAGGAACCATAGTAAAAAGGTTTTGACTAATGTCAAAGCCCGCTATTCTCAGGTCATAAAATCTTGTATTTCATCACAAACATTAGGTTCTTATAACTTCTGGAGAATCTTTAATAGTATTAATAATAAGGGCAAGTCTGTAACTCCACCTCTTTTGTATGGTTCAGACTTTGTCACCTCACCTAAAGACAAAGCTGAATTGCTTGCTAAGAACTTTTTATTAATATTATTTCTTGATTCCACTAGTTGGGTTCTACCTAATATAGCCGTCAAACAGGTTGATCCATTGCTTGACATTTGTATTACTCCAGCTTCTGTATCTAAACTGATTTCCTGCTTAGAGTCTTTTACAGCTTGTGGCCCGGACAACATACCTGTTATAGTCTTGCAGAAGTGTTCTCCGAAGCTTTCATCTATCCTTTCAAAACTATTTAACAAGTGCTTATCAGAGTCTTGTTTTCCAGCCTGCTGGAAAGTAGCATCTGATTCATCTAACTACCGTCCCATTAGTCTTCCTATTATTAAAAGCAAGGTTTTTGAATATTTAATTAACCAACACTTAATCTCTCATCTTGAATCTCATAACCTACTTTCTGATCATCAATATGGATTTCGATTTTCTCGTTCTACGGCTGATTTGCTAACAGTAATAACCGATAGGTTTTATTGTGCATTAGATAAAGGTGGAGAGGTCAAGGCCATAGCGATTTTTTTCAGCCAATCGTTATCGCAATAATTTAGATCTTCCTATATTTATGAACGGTTATGTACTCGATGAGTCATCTACCCTTCATCTTCTAGGATTAACTCTCACTTCTGATCTTTCTTGGAAACCTTATATCAAATCCGTTGCAAAATTAGCATCTGCTAAAGTTGCATCTCTTCATCGAGCTAGAGACTTTCTTACTTTGGATTCTATTCTCTATCTCTATAAATCTCAAATCCGACCTTGTATGGAATACTGTTGTCATATCTGGGGCGGATCTTCTAATGATGCCCTTTCTCTTTTAGACAAGGTGCAAAAACTCATTGTAAACATAGTTAGACCTGCTCCTGCACCCAACCTTCAACCATTATCACATCGCCGTAATGTTGCTTCTCTTTCTCTTTTCTACAAATACTATAATGGGCACTGCTCTAAAGAGCTAGCGTGTCTAGTGCCATCTACTAAAGTTCACTCTTGTGTTAGTCGCCATTTAATTAAGTCTCATCATTTTTCTGTTACTGTTCCTAAGTGAAACTTAGGAACAGTAACAGAAAAATGATGAGACTTAATTAATTAGAGCATCAGTTCTGTGGAATTAGTTTCCTTCATCTTGCTTTCCTGATTTATATAATTTGCAATCATTTAAGTCGTCTGTCAATCGTTATTTTGCTCTACATTCTTCATCTTTTCTCTTCCAGTAACTTCCAACTCTAATTAGTGGTTGCTTTCAGTCTTGTTGGAAGCAAAGATGTTTAACAAAAAAAAAAAAAAAAAAAAAAAAACTTGTTTGCGTTTGTAGAAATTTATTCCCACTTATTTTATTTATTGTACTATTACTTTTTACTTTTTAATTTAAATGTTGGTTTCACACAAAGATTATTTACCTTGATTTTTTTTTTTTAATCTTATCTTTGTTAAATGCTTATTTAAGGTTCTGACGACAAGATCCTTGCAATCTAATTTCAGATACCTTATATTTGTTATACTTTCTATCATCGTAAGTTTATATATTTTTTTTTTGGTTATATAAAGCTGTACAACGACTAACAAATGTGAAACAAAAAAGAATACCTTTTAACAAAAAAAGAACCCGCAAGCAGTTTAGAAGCAAATCTTTATATAAAAGGTTACTTTTTATGTGTCCCATGAACGACAAAGAAAGTTGAGGAAGAGCGCATGTTAAGTGAAATAAAAGATTAAAATAAAACAAAAAAAATTTATGCACAATCTGTTAAGTAATGCAGTGAACAAATTCCTTAGCTTAACGTGGCGTCTAGAAACAAAGTCAGCATTTTTACACGACAGTGCATAAGTTACATTGAATGTTTCTCCACATAAGGGATATTTTTTAAATAAAATCACATCGTAAGCGTAATGCAAAATAACATAACCTTTTTGTAACGGTCAGACGTTTAACCAAGTACTTGTAATTTGCTTCTTGTTAGCTGTATATTTCTTAAAAAAACTCTGATAGAATTGAATCAATTGAGGTTTTTTTTTCTGTTTGAAGTCTAAGTCTGTCACTCTTCTAGCACAATCCCAGTAGCCTACTGGGATTTTAGGCCGACAACACGGGTTTCAAAGTGGAGGGGCACAACCGTCAAATTCTAAAAAAAGTCCTCTATATGTAGAAATTTCTTTAAAAAAAAAAGATCTTTTTTAAAAAAAATGCTTGTGTGTGTGTGTGTGTGTGTGTGTGTGTGTGTGTGTGTGTGTGTGTGTGTGTGTGTGTGTGTAAATGAATGGGGAGAGGGGGAATGGGGAGAGGGGGGAGGAAGGGAACACGTGTCCCCAGTACTCTCCCCCCCCCCCACTTGTTGTTGACTTAGACATCAAACAAAAACTAAAAAACAAAAACAAAGAAAAAAAAGAACCTTAAAGAGTAGAGTTTTTTTTTTTTTTGATATTAATATAGATACACCGAGTCCTCTATCCCGTGGAGATTTAAAAAAACTAAATTAGACCAAAAAAGTAAATAAAACCTAAAAAAACTCTCAGATGGGCAGGATTGAAAAGTCTTTTTTTTTAAAGGAATGATCTTTATAAACTAAATTGGAAATTCAAAAAAATAATAAAAATGCTAAGAATATATGTAATAATACCTATTTACCTCTAAAGGGGCAATAATACCAATAAAGAGTTATTTAATTTCAGGTATAGTTTTTGCATGTGGAATAATAACTTTTTTGTGATAGCCATTAAACTTGTGTCACGGACCTATCGTTCTTTCCGTGACACAAGTTTTTAATGCCTATAACTAAAAATTTAGAATTCTATTAACAATGTCTTTTCTCAAAATTAAGTAGATATTTATAGTTAGTTTGTTAGGTATTTTTCCCCCTTCTAAACGTTTTTAATTTTTTTAATTTCAAATATTGTTTACAAAGGTCATTTCTTTTAAAAAACACCACTTTTCAATCCTTCCCACATTTATATTAGTTGAAAGAGGGTTTTATTTGAAGTTTTAAAGTAATTAAGAATTTGTAAAAGTAACCTTCCTCAAAGGTCCGACATCACTAAATGCTTATTATTACTAAACAAAATAATGTACGCTATAATAAGATTTTTCCCGCTTTAATATATATTTTTATCTTATGTTTATTAATAATTGTTATTAATTTAATAAGGTTATAGGTTTATATCCTTATTATATTAACAACAAGGACATAGGCTTATATAATCATTTTATATTATTTGATGGGTTTTGAAGATATTTATTTGAAGTATTGAATTTTATCAAAATTTTTATGCGCAAAAAATATATATTATATCAAAAAAAATTTTGTGCAACATTTTTGTTTTATAATAGCAACTATCCAATTTATTAAAAAAATGGTGATGTTTGTTGTTCATCACGAATCTGTAAAAAATTGTTACCGAGCACATTTTTGTAGTATGGCTCTTTGGTTTTTTATATCAGTAGCTTTAATAACTTATATTGTGCCTCTTTTTCTTGCATATCAGAGTCACGGTAAGTATTGGTTAAACTATTTGTCTATGTATATATGTATATATATAGTTAATAAAAGCATATATATAAAAGAATAGAGTTTGAGCATGTCAAACTCTATTCTTTTATTATATATATATATATATATATATATATATATATATATATATATATATATATATATATATATATATATATATATATATATATATATATATATATATATATAAAAATATATATATAAATATATATATATATATATATATATATATATATATATATATATATATATATATATATATATATATATATATATATATATATATATATATATATATATATATACCGTAAAATGGGGTGTATAGCAACAGTAGGGGTGAATTGCAACAAAACTTAATAAATATTTTGAAAATTTGCTACTTATGATCCCTTTTAAATGCAAAGGGAATTTTCATTCTGAAATATGGGTAATTACCTGATTTGTTAGAGAAATTTTATTTAATTATGTTGGCATCCCTGTTTGAGGTTGTTGTTGTTGATTGATTTGTCGCTGAAAATCTTTGAGAAAATTTGTTTGTCAAAAGCTCTGACTGTAAGTATGACACTGTTATTTCAATTAACTTATATTGTTTTAAAGGTGACTTTATGTATCTTACAAACAAAACTTAAATGAATTTAAGCTAAATAATAATAACTTATTTATACAAAATAAATTTTTTAGGTTAGGCATGGTTTTAACAAAACCTGGGGTGAATAGCAACACACTTTTGTCTGTTGCTATTCACCCCATAGTTCTCATAAACAACAGCTGATTGTTTTTTTTTTTGTTATTTTTAACATAAATACTGACTGTAAGTATTTAACTTAATCACAGATTATATAAATATATTTATTTGATTACTATAAGAGCTGTTTTTTGTTTCAGGTATGATTTGTGGCCTAACTGAAAGAGGATGCCTCGAAAGTATGCGAGTATTAAAAAATGCAGGCAGTGTGACCCTGAAGTGATTAAAAAAGCTCTTAATGAAGTACAAATTGGTGGTAGTTTTAGAAAAGTTGCAGAAAAATATGAAATAGATCATACAGACATATGAAAAGAGGTGAAACTAAGAAAAAAGGTGGCCAAACCGCTTTGTCGGAATATGATGAAAACCTCTTAGTTAGTAGACTTCAGATCTGCAGTGATTAGGGATATCCAATTGACTCAATTACTTTGAGACTGCTAATTAAGGATTATATTGAAATGCAGGGCAAAACTGTCCCAAAATTCAAGAATAATATGTCTGGGCCTGATTTTGTACACAGCTTCCTGGAACGACACAAGAAGGAACTATCGGTTCGCATGTGTCAAAATATTAAACGGTCGACAGCGGCAGTTAATGAAGAGACTATAAATGAATACTTTGATCATCTTGCTACAGAACTAAAAGATATTCCGGCAAGTAATATCATCAACTACGATGAAACCAACTTATGCGACGACCTGGGCCGGAAAGTGGTTATAGCTCGGCGGGGCTGTAAGTATCCCGAAAGAGTTATGAACTCTACAAAGGCTTCAGTGTCGGTTATGTTTACCGCTGCTGGTGACGGAACCATCTTATCGCCTTATGTAGTATACAAAGCTCAGCACATGTATGACAGCTGGAGAGTTGACCTTTATCGCAATTTTACTGGGGCGAGTTTAATTACAAAAATGCCGATGTAGCTCGATTTTTTTTTTTTTCTTTTTTTTTTAGATGTCATCCTCAATAGTTTAGTTAGAGTTGTTACAAAGAATTGGAAAGTGGTCTTTTCTTAAAATGGAAAAAAAACACGGTCAAATTTACTTAAATTTGTTACTTATAAAACAGGAATTATAAAAAATCAAAAGAAAAAAAAGGTTGAACTCTTATGTGCCTTATGCACAGAAGTTGGTATTTAATAATTTTCTGGAAATTTTTCCACTTACCCTGAGCTTATTATGACCCCCTCCTTCCTCCTCCTCCCCACTTTCCCTCTTTTATTAAATTTTTTATTCTTCTCCCCCCCCCTTCCTTCCCTCGTTAGAAATAAAAATAAAAATTTCCACCCACCTGTTTATTAAAATCCTTTCCCTTTCCTTTTCACTCCCCATATATTACATCTGGACAAAAATATTAAACTTAAATTGTCAATTGATTGAAAAGGTTCAGCAAGATTGTTATGCTTAATTATGAGTGCAAGTGACCAGTATGTTTTGTTATCATTTCTCTTCCTTTATTTACAAATTCCTCCACAATTCTGAAAATTATAGCGCAAAATTATAAAAATCACCTTCTGAAATAGCAATAACACTTGCCACTATTGCACTATGTTGCCTAATTGGAAGTTCCTTACCTATTGTTGTGAGAACTATTTTTTAAAATTATTTTCAGGTAAAAAAACAGGTAGATAAAAATAAATTAAATTATTTTCAGGTAAACAAACAGAGTTATATCTGCTATGATATTCTACTGATTATTACATTCTGACAATGAATTACCTTTTAGACACATTTTTATAAACTATTAAATGCCAAATTAAATAAAATAATAAATGCTCATCATATAAAGCATGTTGTGGCACGTATAATGTGGCAATAGGTGATGGTAAACAACTTTATTAAATATTGATTTATTAAAAATTTACCAATAATTGTCTCAATTAATTGTTGGTCACTTGTCAATCAAAAAATAGTTATTTATTATTCATTAAAATTAAGTCAAAACTTGTTTAGTATAGTAATAAAATATTTAAAAACATTAAATAAAAATGTTTTTAAATATTTTATTAAATTTTTTAATAATTAAAAAATAATAAAAATTATAATTTTTAAATAATTTAAATAATAATTAAGATTATGATTCTTAATTTCCTCATTAAATTCTACTATTTCCTCATTAAATTCTATATATATTTGATATTTTTTTTTACTTTTGAAAATCTAACTCTTACTAAATTATTCAAGACAACTTTTGAAAAAAAAAATTACATCTGCATTTTCATAATTGAATTCATCCCCAGTAAAATAATAATAAATTTTTGAAATTAAAGATCAATTTTATAAAATTACCTAGAAAACAGAAAAAGCAAGTCAGCAACTATTAAAGGAACAATTCGATATGGTCAAAGCTGTTTCAGTTTCATAACTGTCAAGTTACTCTCAGATGCTTAATACATGGGAATTTTTATCTATATTAAATAAATGGGGGGAGATGGGAAAGACGGAAGGGCGGGGAGGAGAGAAAGGTAGTCTTAACAAAAAGGTGAGTGGAGACTTTTTTCCCTATAAGTATATTGTCTAATTTTTAAGACCTAAACCAGTCTCAAAGTTTAAAAAAGAATACCTGAAATTTTTTTTTTTAGATTTGAGGTACAGTTTTTTTGTTCATATTAATATCGTTTAATAAACGAGGGAAGGTGGGGGAGAGAGGGGGAGGAGAAGAATAAAAAGTTTAATAAAAGAGGGAAAGTGGGGAGGAGGAGAAGGGAGGGGGTCATAATAAGCTCAGGGTAAGTGGAAAAATTTCTAGAAAATTATTAAATACCAACTTCTGTGCAAAAGGCACATAAGAGTTCAACCTTTTTTTTCCATTGATTTTTCATAATTCCTGTTTTATATGTAACAAATTTAAGTAAATTTGACTGTGTTTTTTTTCCATTTTAAGAAAAGACCACTTTCCAATTCTTTGTAACAACTCTAACTAAACTATTCAGGATGACATCTAAAAAAAAAAGAAAAAAAAAAAAATCAAGCTACATCAGCATTTTTGTAATTAAACTCGCCCCAGTAAAATTGCGATAAAGGTCAATAATACAGGTGTTCTGTTTATTTTTAAAAATTTTAAGTTGTTTTATTGGACTCCTTGCCTCAAAATATGTTAGCATACATATTTTCAGCTTTCCATTGTATACAGAACAGAAACAAAGACCAAAACCATTTTTTAAAATGGCGGAATTTTGTTGGTTCAAGGCAAAGTTTGAATAGTCATATCTTTGGAACCGTTTGGAATTAGATAATAAAATTTTGGGAATGTTCATAATTTATTAAAATCTTTGAGTGGTGTAAAAATCAGCAAAATCTGAGACTTAGGGTTGCATTTTCAAAAAAAATTGGATGTTTTCACATAGAATCTCCCTTGTATGTTGTTAAAGTTATAGAATTTGATGAAGAGGGATATATTGGAAAGTTTTACATGAAGACCTCCCATGGCTTAAGATTTTTGGAAACGGACGAAGAAGCACTCTTCAAGACACCTGAGGATGTCATCCGCAAGCTTGGAAAACCGAAATTGTGCACAGCTAGAAGATTTCAAGGACTTATTTCATTTGATGATGATCTTGATGGGTTTACAATAAATTAAATGTATTCAGTTTTCTTAAAGATGTTCAGAAACCTTTAGATTCAATTTTAGGAAAATGTTTACTTAAAAATATAATTTTGTAACTTTTATCTTAGAATTTAACAAGTTTTATATGAATTTTGTATTTTTTAAAATCTTAAATACATTGTGTGTACAAATTTAACGTGTTGCTATGCACCCTGTGTTATTTCTAATGGCAAAATACCAACAATCTAACCAGTGTTGCTATTCACCCCAATTAGCTGGGTGAAAAGCAACAGGCACATTTGATTTTTTTTTTGGTAACCTGAATGAGTTCATTTTGTTTTTCCACTGTTAACTTGTAAAGGATTGCAAGACCAGACTTTTAAGCTTATTACAACCCTTTTCAGGGCTTAAACAGAATATCTGTGTTAGTCAAAAGGCCACAAACTGTTGCTATACACCCCATTTTACGATATATATATATATATATATATATATATATATATATATATATATATATATATATATATATATATATATATATATATATTACATATATATATATATATATATATATATATATATATATATATATATATATATATATATATATATATATATATATATTATATATATTTATATATATAATATATATATATATATATATATATATATTATATATATTTATATATATAT